CTTTTTTCTTCTTCTATGTATTGCGGCACTGTAGCTGAGGTGTTTCCCACCTCTAGCTAACGTGTATAATGATGATGCAGATGGGGGAAAATGCATACCATACTTTGATGCTTTAATTTCCAAGCGTTTATGTTTAATTTGGACAGTCTGTAGGCCGTCACTTAGCGAAACAATATCATCAGCTTAGTCCAAAGTAACTACCCAGTGACCCAACGTTAGCGTTCTGTGATTCTTCTAGAGCCTTTTTGAGGACATTTTCGATGCCAAATCTAAAGAGGTACGGTGATATCCTGCATTCTTGTCAAATAACACTATCGAGAACAAAGGATGACAACAGCTTACCATAAACCCTAACAGTGCCTGAGATCAGATTATACATAGAACGTAGTATGGAGCCGAACTTCAAAGAAGCGCTATTTATCAACAGACAGTGCCTACCCGCCATCCTGTCTATAAAATCGAACGTAGCACGGACATCCTGCAACACACTAATCGTTGGTTTTGGCTACACATGGCGGAGCTCGGGGATTTGACGAATTGTGAACGATTGATCCAAGCAGCTGCAACCAGAGTGAAAACCAGCTTATTTTTCCCGCTGTAACAATAAGCGCACTGGAGATGGCCTGCCAAGTATAATGGGCACTAGAAGCTTGCAAACGAGGAGAACCAAACTTACATCCTTTAGTTGGAGTATATTGTGCTCAAGCCCTCTTTTAAGATGGGAACGAATTTCAACTCACCACATGACACTGGAACCTACATTTTTGATAAGACTTTTGGTAACAAAGCGGTGAGTTCTTGAACCAGTATGTAGCTACCATCTTTAAATAGAGCGAAAGGTAGATTATCGGGAGCGGGTTCTTTATAAACTTTTAAGTGGCGGAGTTCCTGTCAATTTTCTTGGTGAGAGGGAGGATTTATAGAGATATACCACTTAACACCAGTGAGCCTTAGAGGGAGCAGATGAATCTATGGCCAGCGATGCTGCCAACCAAAACCTTTAACCAGTTGCTCCAACTGTCAGTAGAACTTAATGCTTAATGAGTTATCTACTTCGCAGATTGTTTTGCTTACATCAGATCGGGGACCTTTGGTGAATCGGAGGAGAAGCACATCCTTCTGGTATTACCAGAGGCGCTAGCAAGTTTCCTATCTTCAGCACTTTTAGACAACTAAGCTTTAGGCTCTTTTGTAAACTTCCGCGTGATTTTTGATCTAGGGATTGGCGGATTTTTACTAAAACTGGCGCTGGCCAGGACTGAGTAGCATGTATTTCAAACAACAAGAAGACAGCGGGGATCTAATTTTTCTGCGGGTAACGGGCAACTACACTACTATCACTACTGGCAGAAATAAATAAATTACATATTTCTGGACGACGAGATATGCTGTTCCTTAAGAGGAACAGATCAATTAATGGTACATCCTTTTCATACCATTGCATTAATACTTTTTAAAGAATAAACATGGACGCAATTTCAAATTTCGGCAGCACAAAGCAATCAGAATCGCTCGGCTATTTTTTCCTGTCGTTGAACAACGGTTCTTCCCAATCACATGACATGCTCGTGCCGAAAAAAAATGAAATAAAAAGGGCTGTTGTGCAAAATGTTGTGTTTGGAAAATTTATTCAGACACCATCGATACCCGGATTGTGATGTCCCGAAGATATTAAACACGTTTTGGGAGGTTAACTGTTTACTACTCACAAGCTTAACATTGCAAAGTGTATATCATGTTCTGATCTCTTGGAAGTTTGTTACAAATCTTTGAGTAGTGGGTTAGCAAAAAACGTCCTCTTACTCTAGTAGTAAATTTTGGAATCATAACCTTTATCTTTTTGTTACGGATTGGATAACTACTGTTTAGAGATATTTGAACGCCGTTATCAAGACTGGGCATTTGATTCTGTAAAAAAATCATAGGTTCAGCTTCATTCTCCGAAGCCAAACTGGGTCGAATCCAAGTTTATTACATTGCTCCCTGTATACCATCTTTGAGGAATATGCACATAGCTTTTTCATGAAGCGTCTCTGGACTCGCTCAAGAGCATGCTGGTCATTCCTGGGTTCAACTGTTCGTTGACCTTCGCAACTGGTATGCATTCCAATTGCGAAGCTCGGCGAACAGTTGAACCCAGGAACCATCAACACGGGCTACCAGTACATCAAGTCACTTTATGCATGCTGATCTGGTTCCCGCAGATTAGAGTAGACCAATAAACAATATTCCATACAAGGAAGTACCTATGTTTTGTAAAGCCATGTGCGAGATTCCGTAAAAATGGTGGCACATGTATCCGATGGCCTCCATGGCCTTCGAAATTTGAAAGTCACAACCTTCAGGAAAGTTAAAACTGACTGAATATCGTCCGCCCAAGTCGCGAACTGCCGTGCATTGCGAGATGTATGCGCTTTGTAATAATAGACTGGCTGGCGGTACTTGGCATTTATACGACAAAATATTGCACTTGTCCACGGCAAATGACGTCTGTCATTTTTGGCACCAGGAGTCAAGTGCAGATAGGTCAGTCTGAATGCGACGTACTGCTTCCTGCCTAGTTGCAGGTAGTTATAAGTTGATAACTTTATTGTCATCAGCAAAGATGAACGTAGCACCATTTATTATTCTCTGGAATATCTCGTTAATATATATTAGAAATAGAGAAGGACCAAGAAGACTTTCTTGAATCACTCCACTGGTGATTGCTTTCGCCTCAGAGAAATGGCCGCCGATGTCTACCAATTATATATGAAGAGAGCCAAGAAAACATAGACTCTCCAATGCCTGTGGCTTACATTTCGTTCAGTGACCATTTGTAAGGGCATTTTACATATCCAGGAAGTGGATTACAACTCTGTTTCCGTTGTCTATGACAACCGTTGGGTAGTTTAAAAAGTCTGTCTGGCATATTGCGCAGGATCGACCTTGCAAGAGGCCGTGGTGCAAATTGTTGATGATGTTAGCTTTGTTCAAGAACACGAATAGTTGATCTTTCACTATCCTTTCCATTACTCTTGATACGATGGGTGTGTGATTGATGGGACCTAAGTTAGCCTCGTGGGCGGCGCCATTTTTGTGTCACGGGATAAGGACAGATGTTTCCCATTGAGTGGGATATACTCCGTTTTTAAAAGAGCGTATAAAGATGTTGGGCAAAAGCAGAGAGAAGTCCTTACTACTGTTTTTACTAAACAAGGGGATCCCATCAGGGCCTGCGTAAGTTGGGGAGCATAAGCGAAAGTCTTGACTAGTGCTTTTCGCTATAGTGAATTCCACTGTACATAGACTTTCACTGTTGTGCGGCCTGATAAGAGCTGGTGTGTCTGATGATTCATTAACTATTGCTTCGACAAAATAAGCACTGCAAGCTTCGCAAGTATCACCTAATGTGTCGAAGTAGGTTCCATCGGGTGTGGTGATGAAATTGAAATTGGTACTGCGACGCGAACCCAGAGCACGGAATAGTTTGACTAGTTCAGCCGTTTTGCTAGGGCCGTTCAGAGCTTTATACACTTCTAGAATAAGAGTTACCCTTTTGATGCCTGTGTTCTTTGATCACTTTTGACTGCTGTAATAACAGCACAAAATCAACAGTTAACCTGAATTTCCGCCTAATCTTGTGCAGCTTTCGTGCTGGTTTCAACGATTTGCGATCTGTAAGACTAGTATATACTAACACGAGAGTGTCCGTGCTCTGGCGCGGATACCAGAAAACCGGAAGAACGGACTCAACGGATGGTATTCGAGAAAGGCTACAATCGGACGAAAATCGGATGAAGCGACGAGAGCGTACGTCAGTGTCGGAACTCACCATGGGCACAAGTGGTGGGTCGGATGCAGATAAAAATGGCCGTGGGGTCGGCGTTAAAACAATAATGTATGGTTGCGTAACAAATTTTTATATAGGAAGATAAGAAACATCTTTTGCGTTGCTACAGATCGGATTTATGTCTATTTTGGTAAGCCCATTTGAGTGCTTCTGCTGAATCGTTTCAAAAGCCAAAAACAGGTTCGTCGCTTGTTTAGGACATGGAGAGAGAAAGCAATTATCCCAATTCATCGAGCGAACCATTTCCTTGAAAGTGTTCCAGTTGACGGAACTAAACAGAGGATAATGCGTTGTGTTCTGAACATCGGTCATGCATAGTCTTAGGCAGCTTTTGACTACACATCTTTGTTGCGTACCCATTGGGAATTAAGGGCATCGTTAGAAGCTGAGTCGAGCAGTGTTGAAGCTGAGGCCAGGTTTTTGGTTGACCAAGGTTTTGTAGATTCTTGACGTTCCTTCCTTAATGTGTGCACTTGAGCGACCCTCGTAAACGCATACAAACGTTAGCACGAACTAATGTGTTTTAAGTTCAGATCGTTTGACTGGTACAATCAACAGTCTGTTACGTTTTCGCGACGATTGTAACTTATTAGTATGTGGTCAAACCAGGATAACGTTTGCGTTGAAGAGGGCGCATTGTTAGGATTCAAAGCAATAATAAAACCCGTGTGACGTTGTATCTTGTGAGTGAGATATTAAACTTGATGTTGAACTGTACTGGTTTGCACTTTGGTCTTAGTGAAAGGTTTTCAAAAATAAAAAACATAAAACCGGAACTCAATGTTGGGTTAAAGTTATTTTGTGGTGAAGTTTCCTCAGACACAAACCTTTACCAACCTTTAGAATTGTAATTTTTGATATGTTTGCTTTCCATATTATAATCAATGGATATTTGTACGTTTATATCGCTTGCACAGACAAGTAAGGCTGAACGTCGATGGTTAATAAAATCCATAGTAACGGTGTTTACGATCAGACTTAAATATTACGCTGTGACAAATAAACACCTCTTTGAAAGTGCGAAATCTAGTTGTAATAATTTTGGTTGGCAAGACCTTTAGGTGTCATAACCTGTTCTACCCACTGGTAAGAGTTTGTAAATACCCCTTTCGATAGGGAAATTAGTTGATGACTTTCTGATAAATAAATTTTTATTTTTATAATCCAGATATCTGCTGACAATCTCCATGCGTTGCTGAATTTCCTACGAAAGTTCCCCACCTACTATGGTCGCGATACATATCTTGCAGGTGAAAGTTATGCAGGGATTTATTTACCGTTACTTGCACTAAAAATGCTTAAACATGGAACTGGACTGAATATCAAGGTTGGTTATTTTTCAGTAACATGTAAACATATTGATCACCTGAATAATTTTTTATTTCCAATTATCATCCTTTTTGCCGTTTGTAAAACAAACATAATAATGAATACCGTGCTTTTAGTGTTAGAAGTTATAATATTTATATCTTTATTAAAAAGCGTGCAAAAAACAGCAAGTAACTGTTTGTAAATAACAATTCAAACATAACTTTTGCGTGAAGTTATGGAAATAGTTATCTCGTTTTAGTATGGGAATCACTTCTGTATGATCAACTGAAACACGTTCACTGAAACAAACTTTGCAAATTTGTTACCCAGAAATGTTTTGAATTGTATGCTTGATTTGATATCAATGTTGCTTTATGCATGTCAAAGAATTTTGTTGGTTGCGTACTTTGGAAAGTTTACCCACTTCTAAACTAGCACTGCTTGATTGTATGCAAGCGGAGGGATATTCAACTCCTTGCGTCTCTACATGTGTAACATCCATGAAATTATATATTTTCACATATTTTTGGCCATTTGTAATTCAACCATTTGCTAATCGTCTTTATCCATCGGAGCATGAAAGTAAGAACAATGTATCTAGTTTGTGCTGTCACACCGAACTACGTTTGTTGTCATGATCAATATCGGATTAGAAGAATAAGTTTTATAAAACGAAATTAACTTGCACATAATTCTTTTGATGTTTATGTTGAGCATACTTTTATTATTTACGCGCCATAAAATGTTTATCTTATGAGTGTGGACTTTGATATACTAGGGGTGTTCAAAAAGAAACCGAACTTTTGTTTTAACATCTTTATTGCTCATTACATAATATTTTAGGCACTTTCCTCTCAAAATGGTTCCTCTTATTGGAAATTCACTTTTCCCACTCATGCTTTTCTGGAACTCATTTTCAAGCATGACGCGTAGGTTTCTTGTCGCATTGTCCCGAATCTCCTCTGTGGTTTGAAAGTGACGTCTTTTCAACGTGGTTTTATGTTTTAGAAACAGAAAAGCTGCTGGGGTTAGGTCCGGAGAATACCATGGATAGAGTGCCACGGGAGTGTGTTATTTTGCTAGATTGCTGTCGACAAACAGTGATGCGTAAGCCTGCGTATTGTCAGGATGCAAGTCTGCTTTTCACACACTTCAAGGATCTTCCTACGCACAGCTTCCATCAAGCGGGCTAGAATTTGATTGCATGATCCAACGCTGATGTTCACTTCGTCTACAGCTTCTCGAACAGTTAAACGGCCAGTTCCACGGATCACATCACGATCTCCCTCGATATGGGCATCGTCTGTTGAGATGGAAGGTCTCTAGTCTTCGGTTCGGCACTGACCCACATCCTGCCTTGTTCAAAACACTTAAACCACTCATAGCACTACGTGCAACTCATACGGTCCTCATATCATTGACTCAGCAAATGAGATGTCTCCTTAAAAGTTTTGGCATGCATTGTGGCTTAAGCTCTTTCATTATTCTTTGACATTAGTCCAACGAACAGCTTGTGCAAGTGCTCACTGCAGCGGCTGTAGCTCCCCAACTAACAGTCAGAGCGAAATGAAGCAAATGGCAGTTTGTTATCCGAGCAAGCCTTCAAATGCACTCATTAGTTTCAGTGCGCTCACTCTGCCGACTGCCTCGTTACTTCAAAAGCTCGGTTGCTTTTTGAACACCCGTCTTAATTTTATCGAGTTCATCACAGTATACTCCAACTCTGATGACTAATCAGGCATCGGTAAGCGCACCAGACGGCCGTTCCGTCCTCGTAAGGCTTGTCAACGATGTGCCTACTTGGATGCATCAGAAACCGAACGTATGGCCTATCAACAATAGTGAATCGCTCCACGAGCTAGAAAACCCTGCCACCCTGCCACGGATGAAATCTATTGATCGTTGTGTCTTAGAAGCTAACTGCGATGTAACACGACTCATTTTTAACTGATGTGCAACTTACGAACATTGCAGAGGACTGCGCGGGCTCCGAGATCCACGGTTTATCACATCAGCAGCTATGCATGATAACTCATTGATAAGCTGTTAGGAAAAGTATTTATGACCACTCAGAACCATCCATCTGGTGTTGTGAACTAATGTCTAACCTCAATTGATTGAAACGGTCATCTGGCCTCTTACCGTATGTATGATTAACCTTTGACTCTGGAGCTACCGCGAGGCTCTCTGTATAAGATCTGGATCTATTTACATGCAGGCAGATCCAGTTTATGACCCGAACGATAAAATACTTGTCCATTTGAAGCATCTTTTTATGCATATCTGCAGGGTATTTTTGTCGGTAACCCGTACACGGACCTCAAACTTCATGAAATATCCGAATACTATTACTTGCACTCCCGTGGATTAGTACCAACAGCGTAAGTTACAAAACAAGCCCATGATATCCGCACTTCTTCCTAATAAACCCAAATGTCGAAATGGTACACCGTCGTCAACAAAAAGCATTTACATATATTTTCATTTCAAAACGGATGATATCCGATATTAGTCGCCATGTGCCTGGTTTCGTCAATACAGATACTGCATGTTCATCAAGTAGAACTAAGTTACCTTTTAAATTGAGACATTTTTCACTTACAACTTAGCAACGCTTTTGAAACCAACTTGTGTTTATGAATCAAGCGAATTCTTATTTGCGGGGATAAGGAATCAAATCAAACACACAATGAAACATATCCTCAATCTGATGCGGTCTAAATATGCGACATGGCATTTAGTGTGTACAGCTGTAGTGTGTTTAAATTTTTACCCTGAAATATAGCATGCGATTTTACTGAATTTAAGTTGAGTAAACTTGAGCTAAATATTCCTTGCAGTTACTTTTATACAAAATTATTAATATGGGCTAATGACGAATGCTGAGTAAATGAAGCTATACTATCCACTTTCGTTCGTGGAAGCTGGGAAATGCTTTATGAAGGGAAATTGAGTTTTTGACTAGCAAGACCTGGAAACAGAAAGTTTCTTCCAAATCTTTTTGGACGGACGACATTCATGCCGGTTCCAAGCATCCTCTGAGGAATCTATTAATCACAATTCTGGTTTTTGACAGCCATCGGTTGTACGTCACTAACAGCGCAAAACTAGTGTCAGCTTGATGAACTTCTGGGACGCAATCAGGCTTGATGGATCGACTTTAGACAGAGTTCATCGAAAATGAGGTCCACATGAAGAATCTAAGAGCTGCATGTGCAGTTGACTGAATGTATCCACTGACAACCCAAAGGCAGACGAGTACGAATCATGTCATGGAGTGCAGCGTTTTGTGGTGGCAACACCCAATATCCCTTGACAAGTACCATTTCTATATTCAATGTAATAACAGGATCTTATTTTAAAGCAACTGGACAATGTGCTCCATGTATCCACGCTTGTTGGATATTAAATGGTAACACACACATCCATAGCAGTGTACAAACTAAAGCCCACCACCAACAAATACAAAGGGACATTTCCCTAAAAATTGTTAACAATAATGTAAGCACAATATACAATTGCTGGTTAACTCCCAAACGATTTACTCATAGTATTCAACATCGTGTTAGATGTGGTGTGATCCATAAACAGTGGTAAGCAACGCAAAATAGCTAGATTTACACTTCCATTTAGTCTGCGATGTTGATGCGTAATATGGTAGTGGTTCCTTGGGTTCTCAACGTTTATCAGTGAGCATCTCCGAAGCGTGCTATTTTGCGTGTACTGATATTAGTGAATGCAATAATGTCAACAAAGTTAGGCTCCAAAGCCCCCGCTACTTCGAGACAACTGCCATAGCTACCGGTAGAGCACCTTATAATGCCTACCTAATATACCTTGGAATGACACTGCGTGTAGCATGTTCAGTGCGGTAATACAATGACAAGTATAAACCGTTGTAATAAACATAGGAAGACCGAGGCGTATTTAAGACGACGAACGTAAATCGAAAGTTTCCTGACTTTAATGAACTTTTGTTCACATCAAGCGAAAAGACTCCTTGTTATCACATTTCACTTACGTAGCAAGGTGTAGCCCTTTACTATCAGTACGAAGGCTATAGTACTTTTTAATGAGTTTCTGATAACGATCACAATGTGAGCAGGTTTAAAAACGTCTGAAACTTGGTAGATGTAGCTGTGGTCAGCTGCTAGGTGTTCTAGACAACATAAGCTGCTTATTTCAGAAAATGGCTTTGTTGGGAGAAATTGCGATAAAATAGTTCCAGGGAGAGCCTGGGACACTGTGATGAGCAGCGAGGAGCTTTTACCACCAAACCAGGTTAACTGGGCACAACTGGCAAAATACCCCCCCCCCATCTGGAGAAGAGAGAGGGTTGAATTCCAGCAGCAAGTAGATCTTTCAAAAACAATTTACTATCTATACTGACAACAGCACAGTATTGTGCAGGAAGGCATATTTCCATAAATTTAACTGCATTGTCTAGTGATGGCAACACAGCGTATGCGATGTAGGTTGCAGAAATTAATGTGTGGCTGCAGCCACCGGAAACAAACTTAAGAGGGGATCATCTTAGCATGACATGATTGGCATCCATGCAAGAGCTATTTTAGTAAATACCCACAAATTTGCTGAAATGTATGAAACAAGTCGGTATTTATTTGTTCGTTTCATTACTATTGGTATAATACTAGAAACTCTCCGGATACGGTCACTGTCATTATGCGTACCGCGTGTAAATCAACAAAAGGCTGGATCAATGAATGTGCACATTCTTCAAGAACGAATGTGATCGGCCACCAGAGAAGAGTTATTGCCCAGTTTCTTATGTGCTGTTTCGCTGTTGATGGAAGATAATCTGTAGGTCATTGTCCGAATCCAATATGTGGTGTCCTCTCCCGTTCACTATTTTGGCACCAGTTCGACTTCCCGATAGCCATTATTTCTTTGTAACTTACTCAACCCTATGACATTTCCATACTGACCTCGCTTTCACTTTCACTTCTTTATTAAACAGTTGACTAATCATACATTTGGACAGGTAATCGTGATCGA